CAAATTACTAAAATTTTTTGTACTGAAGGCCTTTCGTTGAATATCACCAAAAGCGTTTTGCATAGCGGACATCTATCGATGACCAATAGCAAAATTCGTATTTTTCATTTTTAAGCCGAGGGTTATAATAATGAGTTACGAAATGTAAGAACAGATGTATACGTCTAATATTTAGTTGCATGTTCTAACCTGATTATTATTATGTTTGCACAGATTTTCATATATCATCAGCCCCAAGTTCAAGTCGAAGTTTGCTCTATTGAGACATCAACCATAATTGTGAGTTACACAATTGTGAGCTCAATAAGATCTTACGGTTCTACATGTCTTGGTTTTCGACCAGCTCCAGCTGAGCTGACATGCGAGTCATCTGTTCATCGTTAAGATCCCTGCGAGCTTGGTAATAATGATACGCAATCGAAAGAGAGCGAGCCCAAGGCCCTTAAAGCCGCTTAGCAGTCAAATTAGCTGTTTAAGTCTCTTATCGACGTCCCACAGTTATGCGACGTTGACACCAAGCCGAAAACAGGCCCCGGGACGTTTATGGCTGCTTCTTTCAAATTTTTGTCCCTCACTCACTCAACTTGTGCGGATGTGAGTGGAAAGGGGGCTTTTTTCTCCAGTTTACTTAACCACACAATGAGCGGTAAGATCAGGGAAGGCATTTATTTCTTTCCTCCCCTAGAAATTGATCCACTGAGTGCTCTTCATATAGCACAAAAAGTCGAGAATGTTCGCTGGTTTCAGGTCGGCTAAAGAACGTAAAAATTGCATGTCGAAAAATTGTTTGCTTGTCCTGGCTGGCGTGGGACAGTGACAGAGATAGTGTTCGATGCTCTCTTCTTCTTCCTCGTCACAGAAACTGCGACAAAAACTGTTGGTTGCCTATCCCAAGCGGTCAAGATGAGTGAGAGCTTTAAATCGCTCTACACGAATTTTCCCGCAAACTTGTCCGCCATCCATTTTCCGGAATGTCTCTTAGCCCAGCAGCTGGGCTGTCAGAATTTATAGTAATACGCTAAAAGCTCTATAGACAGCCGTCGACCCCGAGCCTAGGCCTGCAGCACCTTCGCATACGTTCCCCTCTGGGATTATAATCGATAGATTGTTGTATAAACAGAGTGCAAGAGTGCTAAAATCTAATTTTGTACATTGATCGGCGGAGGTCTTTCCAAGGCTTGATCGCATTTACCCTGACGGAACTACATACAACCGGTGAAGATTTAAAATTAATTTCAGAGAAGCCGTCGGCTGCGCCCGTTCCATCTTGGCAATGGACTATGCTCTAAATACCTGCTTTTCTGGTCAAAACTAATAGATTCAACAATTTTGTTGAGCTTGAGGCGGTTTTTAATGAAAATGTTTGCGGACAACGAAAACAATTTATATTTTCCGCAAAAATTTACATTGAAAACGGCCTCAAGCTCGAAAAAATTGTTGAATATTATTGTTATAAGGGCCATAAATCACAAAAACAAAAATAATTAGGGCAAATAAGTATAATATATGACTTCCCACATTTTTGTAAGACACAAAATTTTCTAACCTTTTATGACCAAGGCGCCGACGGGTGTCACTTTTTAATTTTTAGTTCTATTAAAATCATAAAAATAAATCGGGTTTACTAAATTGAATTCGAAACTACATAAGTGATCAATTTTAAACAACTGAAACGACAATTTACATGAATAAAAAAAAAACAAGTGTGCTTGAAGAATCAATCGATTGGAATAATCCAGTAATATAAGATTTTAAAATTGTCTCGGAATGAAAGCTAAACTATCAAAAAAAAGGGCGCGGAAGCTAAACGCGCAAACCTTTAAGTATGCACTTATATTGACACCCCTTATGTACAAAAGTGCATAAATAAATATCTACATAGCACAACAGATGTCAATCTACAGCATTTCCTTAAATCTACTTCAATATTTGATTGAATTTTATTACTTTTTTTTTTATTTACATATAGACTAGCCTTTCAGATTCATTGCCATTATACACTACGAGTATTAAAATACAATAAAAACAATCACCAATAAAACAAATACAAATGTAATCGATAAAGTTAAGTGATACTTAAAAAAATACAAATATTTACAAAATATCTACATACAAAAGTTCAACAGTGAAATTGAAATTTTCTGTTCACAATAAAATAAAAAAATAAATAATAATAATAATAATGGTGCGCACACGTCTACTGACCTTATTACCGTTGCTTTTGTTTGCAATGTGTAATTTATTTGTGCGTGAGTCCTCGTCAATTGCGATTGCACCATCTACATTTGGTACGGCTATCGCTAGAGCTGGGAAGTTTTCGAATACGCTTAAGGTGAGTTTATTTATGTACAAACATACATACATACATGCATATATCTTAATTGATTCGTTTTTTATAAGCAAAGTTTTTTTTAGTGAATAGATACAAAGTCGGCCGCTGTGGTGTAGTGGTAAGCAGTGCGCGCTTCCACTCCACAATGCCTGGGTTCAAACCCTGGTCAAAGCAACATCGCAAAAATATAGAAAAAAGGTTTTTTCTTAACAGCGGTCGTCCCTCGGCAGGCAATGGCAAACCTCCGAGTGTATTTCTGCCATGAAAAACAGCTTCTCATAAAAATACAATCGCCGTTCGGAGTCGGCGTAAAACTGTAGGTCCCTCCGCTTTGTGTGACAACATCAAGGCGCACGCCACAAATCGGAGGAGAAGCTCGGCCAAACACTAACATATGTGTAAGCGCCAATCTATTATTATTATTATTATTAGATATTTACAAATACTTTTACTTACAAAAAGCAAAGGATGCAGTGTATGTAATATAAATTCGAACATATCCTGTTATTTTGCTTAGAACTAAAACACTTATATACATTTTTTCTGAGTACTTATTTATTAATTAAGTGTATTTAAATAAGATTACAATACAATGCTTTCAATCGCTCTTCTCCAGTCGTGTTGCGTAGAAAGGTTGTCAATCTTCTTAAAGTTAAAAATGATCATTCGCTCGATGCAACTAGAAGTGGCAGGGTTGAAAAACAATTCGAAGAAATCATGAAATTGCCTATCGCAATTGTCCTAAGCTACAATAAACGTTTTTGGTCTGTGCGTTGAAGGAACTTCTGAATAAAACCTGAAACCAAAAACAAATTTGATACGAGACAAGTGGATAACAATCGTTGGTAGCTCATCCACATTTTAACTCTTCAAAGAATTCAGGAACATCGTTCGGCAATACTTCGCGCAAGACATCAACGGTTTTGTTCAACTCTTCTTCATTAATTTCGTTGTAATTACGTTTTGTATATTGGAGAGCAGTTAGTACAGAAAACTTCCATAAATCTTAAATCAAGCTGTGGTAATATTCTTCAGCATTGCCAGTGCAATTGTCCTGATTTTGTTGACGTCCGGTTCGTCGAGGAACTACTAGCACCGTACCAATAGTTTGTGCAATTTGAGTTGCAGTTTGGTTACGCATCTCCGGGGGTAATCTCCTGAGTAATCTAACGACTTTGTACACAGCTGAATTTCGATAAAAAGTTAGTAAGGGCTTTATGTGTTAAGATAACGGTATGTTAGTGAGTATTGTATATGTCCCCGATAATATTTAAAGAAATTTTAATCAGCTATAAATCGCTTTCTATCGGAGAGTTCGCTGAAGAAAAATTTGCTCTTTAGTGGTGTGTTTTACTTTTATTTTTCTTGAAATATTTCGTGACATAAAAAAGGGCGCAACATTTTTGACTCGCCAATAAATGATATTTTTTAAATTAAAAAAATCTTCAAAATAATTTATTAAATTGTAAATTACTGACTGCCAGTATTTGGAAAAATTGCAGAAAATTTCCATATGAAATATAATTGTTTTACTACATAAGATGTTGCTTAGAAAAAATTTAACTGCTGTACAAACCAAAATACATATGTTAAATAAACGGAAGATATCTTAATTACAACATTACAAACGTACGGTAAAACTATTTGTTTTAACATACATACGTAATTGTTGTAAAAAAAATTGTTACAAAGTAAGAAATGGCAAAGCAACAATGTAAACCACAATAACATTTTGACAGTTGAGGTGTTAACGAGACAAATGTTTTAGGACTACTCAACCTAGTGATTATGAATATGTATTATGAATCGGTTGTTGTCGGCGTGCGAATGCATAAGAAAAGTCACACAAACTTAAATCAACTACCCAAAAGCAGTAAAAGTCAATGCTGCGGACATCAAAATAAAAACAAAAATAAATAAATAAAAAGTGAAAGACTTGCACAATACAAGCCGATGTCTAAATGATTGAATGATTGCACGAATGCTTCCAGCTATTTTTATTTATAAATCGAGTGCTGGATGCATCTACATATTTATACGTGATATGTACATACATACATATGTATTTTGGATGAGTTTGAATGCTTTTCGATCTCAATAAACGTATCATTTATTAAATGGGTTTTATTTTAGTATTTTTTCGCACTATTACACTCGCTATCTGCAATGCTAATTAATTAACTCGCACAACATACTTATGCATTTATATGTATTATGTAAGTAATGTGCTATATTGGTTAGCATAGGTATGTATGCTTAAGCAAAATATCGATGTTAATAATATGTATTGTTAGATTCATTGTCGTTTATTGAACCACAGACCAACTGTACGTTATAATTAATGCTATTTATGCTATTAGCGACTGATTGAAGAATTCGATTTGTTAGTTAATTATCACATTTATGTATGTAGTTCAACTTGCGACCACTTATAAATTTTTTAAATTTATAATACCGTTAATTTTTTTTTTATTTATCTATCTTACCGCATAAAAATAAGTTGAATATAGCGGTTGCTCCTCACAGCAAATAGGAATGAAAGAGTAAAAAAAATCATCAGGTATAATCCGAGTATTCTTTTTACTTCGGTGGCATTGGAATCAATGATTCGAATGCGACATTTTCAAAGCCGTAAAGTAAACGCAAGAAATTGTTGGTTTGAGTGGAGGTGTGGTTACGTTAGGTTAGAATGGTAGCGGCAAACCTTGTTGATAAACGTGCCGAGTATGGTGGCAATTAATAAACCGGGTACCAAGATACACATATGTAAGTGTACGTGGGCGGTGCCACGCCCAGTTTCCATAAATTTCCATAAGTATAATGTTTTACTAAGAGGTCATTGCATATATCGATTTTGAGTAAATTAACTTAAATAGTACTAATTGGGAAGTAGGCGTGATTCTTTTCTGATTTTAAAAATTTTCACCGGATTTCTTAGTGAGGCTCTAAGCAATGTTCGCACCGAGTTTAATGGGGATTGGTGAAGCGACTACACAGATATAACAGTTCATCATAAGTGGCGGTGCTATGCCCATTTTCTAAAAACTTCATAACTGTCGTATTTTATGCCAAAATTCTACTTCTAAAACCAACTTTCAGCAATTTTTATCCAGTATTTGTGGAAATATCGTAGTTTATGCATATTTCGAAAATACCGTTATTCGGAGATAGGCTTGGTTACCAAACTTTGTTGACGTATCTCAACTTTTTCTCGAGTTATCGTGTACACGGACAGACACGGCTTAATCGATTTCTCTTTTCATTCGGAGCATTTATGTATACATTTGTCAATATCTATCTCGATTCGTTTTGGTTGTAACAAACAACCGTTATGTGAACAAAGTTATAATACCCTTGTGTACAAGTGCGCTCGGGTATAAAAAATATTCGTACATAAAAGTAACCGTTGTGACTGCTCCCACATGGCATTTTTTAGCGGCATACATTTTTATCACATCAATGTGTGGAAACTCTGCATTAGCTTTTCCAAACGCCATTTTTGAAATATAAAGATGAATTCACCATATCCAATTTATTCAGTGGATCTCTATATCAATACTTATTTTCCAAAACAAAAATATAGACTTTTGGGTCTGAAAACTACATTTCTTCTCCGATTTCAACAGAATTTCAAAACCTTCGAACTAAACTAGCACCAGAAATTATTTATTTAATACAGTCGCCTAAGAGGCTTGTTTGTGTTATTCAAATACTTTAAATACACATTACCAAGACAAACACTACAGATCATGAACTTCTGCTTTGCATTGACATTTTTGTCCATTCAAAACCGCTGTGAGCTCGCCATTCATCAAACAGACGACATGACACTACATTAATTGAATTTCAAATGCTTCTTTAGTAGTTTAGGTCAAACATGGCATAAAAATCTAAAAACTTATGCATTTATTAAAAATTTGTGCGCACGTACGTATGTATGTATGTTTGCTTGTGACTTGTTTACCGCCAATTAACCTCTTAAGTGCGATGGCAAACAATTCAATTGACTGAATAGGTTCGAAATTAGCATTTAACTGATCTACTTTAAATGTAGGGGTACAGATAAAGAACAAATAGAGTAAGTGGAAAATTACTTTTGTCGAACGCTGTGTACGTTAAATATTTGTATTGCTTTAGAAGTTTTTTGACAATAGCTTACATTAGTTAGTGATAAATAATTTAATGCCAAATAATTAAATAATGTGGTTGTCCACGCTTGCCTGGTTATCAGGCTATATGGTTGACAATAATTTTTCTGTAGTGCATTTTATTGTTGTAAAGTGAATAAAAGATATAACCTCATAACCAAGCAAGTGTCAACAACCACAATGATAATGCCAAATTTTTTTTTATATCCGCTTTTTCTAGTAACAGAGACATATGTATATTGAAATTAGATTTTAAATAACACCTAATACCTTTTGCTTTGCTGCTTTAGAAATGCATTTCAACGAGTGCTTGAGAATGAATTGTACAATCTCGCAGCAATAGCTGGTATCCTTACCAGACTATAAGAGCAAGAGTTAGCCTTTTTGTAGAGTTTGATGCCTCTGGAATCTTGTGTTGCTAAAATTTGTTATCCCTCCCATTATATTATTATACACTCTAAAAAAATTTTGTTTAAATTTGCGCATATTAAGTTATGTAACCAGTTTCCTCTCTTAATGAATGCATATTTTGTTTTGTTAATTAAATTAAACATTACTTGTTTACTTTTAATTATCATATGTGTGGCGTAGAATACGTTTGAAATTTGTTTTTTGAGTTCTAAACATTTATTGTTCACAATTCCACAGTTTACACATAAACTGTTTAAAATTTCCTCTCAAAATGTTTTGTTTAAATTTTCGCATATAAAAAGAGGTAACCAGTTTCCTCTCCTATTGTGTGCAAAATTAAACACTGTCTTTTTACTTTTACATACCAAATTTGCCACGTAGAGAAAATTTACACACAAAGTGTTTAAAATTAAGTAATCTTAAAATTTATTATTTGTAAAAAATATTTTTTTACTTTGAAAATATTTGTAATTTTAGAATTTTCATGTGTATATTTATGTGCATATTTTAAACAACTCATTTTCAAAATCAAATCTTGAACATGTTGTGCGTATATTTCCGCAGATACTAGTTGAAAAATAATAACTTTTCAGTAGTAGTTTTACATGCACTTTTTAGAGTGTATTTTCGACTGTTTGAAATATTAGGCAACTCGAGGAAGGGTTTTGGTAAGTCCGCTTAAGAGTTCACTCGTTGACCAAAAAGATTTAATTTGATGCCGAGGAGTAAGAAGGTTTCACCAGAACTATTTTTACACACCCCTAAAACCGTTTCGATATTTGGCGAGTCCAAAAATTGATTCATTGAAACTGTACAAATGAATACTGGGGCATATTATACGGACTGCATGGGGCAAAGATCAGCTAATTCTTGAGATTTTGTTTTTCGGGAATCTAAAAGTTGCGTCCATATGGCTGGCTAGGTCTGCACCCTATTCCTACTTCCATGAGAGAAAGGATTTTCAAGCTCACCTTGATTGTTTGGGAATAAAAAGAACACCAATAAGAATTTTTATAATTGGTTTTCAAAGTTACAGGAGCCTTTTACTTAATTAAAAGTAAGTAAAAGTATAACCCTTATCATAACTATACGACACTGACATATCAAGTTTTGACTATTTCTTGCAATATTATTTTATTTTAATTATTTTTTTATAAAAATGTGGCTCATTCTACAGAAAAGGATATATGAATCTAGGTTAAAAAGAAAACAAGAAACTTTCATCAAAATTTTACACGGTTTATTATATATATATATTTTTTTTCGTTACGCATTTTATAGTCCATTCTATTTTACATATGTTGTATAGTAAAAGGCAAGTTTGAAGTTTGAGTATCTACAAAATACCGTTGATTTTTTGCACTTTATTCACGATCAAATGATCGGAACTAAACCAAATTATTTTGGGATTACCCTTGTGGCCCCCCAATTTTCCGACGAGAAAAGAATAATCGAAAACGGTTTACGTTTACGTTTCATCGTTATCCCGATGAATTGATAATCGTCCTCCTTTTTTGAAGTCGGTTAATTAAATAATAAAAAAATAGTGAAAACTTTTCAATTTAGTTTCTTCATAAATAAAACATTCAAATATGTTCTATGCTAGCTCAACTTTGCAAGTCACTATATTTTTTGTGCTTTTATTTACCAAATAATACAAATTGCCAATTAGCTGCGGTCGATGCTGCTTTAGTGCCACTGTAAAACAGACAACCTTAAAGCCTAATTAAGATGTTTGCGTCGAAGTTACTGAAAAATTAAATATAGATAAAAATATAAATATATCTGATATGCTCTAAGATGCATAGTAATTAAACTTATATTTACATATATATTGACATTCAAATATTAAAATCATTGCTAGATATTGATCCAGAAAAGATATTTATTTACTGAAATAACTCTGAGCTCAGATTAATTTGGCGGTGGTTAATTTAGGGTGGTCCTAAAATGCATGTGAAAAAGTAAAGTCGGAATTTTTATGCTCTGACCCCCAAGGACAACAATTTTTTTTATTTACGTCAAAACCCCAATAAAAAATGGTTAGGTAAATAATTGGGTATTGTTATTGGAAGTCACCTGAAGAGAACCAGAGTTTTTCGATCGAAAAATATTGATTTTCAAGAATTCCATACCATTTCAAAGAAAAATGTTTTTTCCTCCATATAAAATACATGGAAAAGTTGAGCGACGTATAAATATTTTTTGATTAAGATATATGTAGAACAATGCTAGGGGGTCTTTCAATCGGTAGTCTTTGTAATATTGAAGTGGCGTGAAAAAGTGCTTTGCTGTAGCTGTAAATTTTCTTGAAGAAATAAATATGCCAGAGCGGCAAATTTCTTTTCCATATCTTTTACGTCATTTCATATGAATTTTTCGTTTTTCTTGAGACCCGAAATCTAGCCGGAAAATGGCTAAAACGGCAACACTGATTACAACGCAGCATTGCAATTACAAATACGACAAAAAAATATATATACGAATGCATCATATATGTATGTACATATGGATGTAAGCGTGAACATGGAAAACGAAATACACATATGTATGTATGTATACTTTTCTGTGAGCGAATTTTCACAAAATTTAACTCTGCTGACATGCTTTGTATGTTAATATATTGTAAATTATGCATTGAAGTGTAACGACACAGTTTTCTTGCTTTAATTATCTCAACCTTGCTATGTACGTAAACAAATGGAAAAATAGTGGTGAGATTGTGATTAGTGCATTATACCCAACTTCTATTCTATCCTAAAAAAAATTAGTTACATCAACCAAGCGCGAAGCAGTCAAATATTTTTCATAGTTAACATATTTCAATATAAGCATTTGTTTTCACGCTTATCACAGCTGAGTTGATGTGTGTGTGGCAAAAGCTTGCTAAACTGCAGCCTTGTCATAAAATCACTGCAAAAAATTAAGTTATGTACGCACATTTAGTCATGACTATGTAATCTAGTAAATTTTAGCATAACAAAATCGATGCAGCATAAATTAGCTTAGAAAAAAAGCTAACAATCAGCACCGAGACTTGACGCTTTTAGTAGGTTCAGGCATTCTTTACTAAGCATTATTTTAGGCACCAATAAAACGGAATAAGAAATACAAAGGCCCACTGGAACTATTTATAAAGAAGACTTTAGTTAAATACTTAAAATGGGCATTTTGAAAGACTTTGTTGTAAAAACGTACCATTAAACAAAGAGCATAAAAAACTTAGTTTTAGTTATAAACTGAAATTCTTTTAAACTGTGTGTGTGCCGCGATTCGCTTATCTAGAGTTTTCTCCAGGATTGCAGTGCCAGGTCTGAAGCCATACTGATAAGGTATAATCAGTTGGTTCGTAAAGGGCTTCATATCGTCGACAGCACCTTGTAAGCAATATAATATTTATGTTGGCGCTTACGCAGTATCTAAGTGTTTGGCCGAGCTTCTCCTCAAAATTTGCAGTGGTGTGTCTCTTGATGTTGTTACACAAATGTAGTGAAATACAGTTTTACGACCCCTTCGAACAGCAAATGGATTTTATGAGACTCGTTTTTAT